CTCAGGCAACATTCGCACTGGGACCCAATCCGCTCGATGTAGCGGCGCTGCGGCGCGTCAACTCCCTCGACTCTCTCTGCGTCTGCGTCTCTCGAGGCGACTAGCTCTCTTTGTGCCCGGGTCTGTCTAGTCAAGTAGCTAGGAATATTCTGCTAGTGCGCGCCATATCGGCAGACGAACGGGTATGTGGCAAGAGAATCGAGAAGCGTCAGTGGGCGTCGCGTGCGACGTCGCGCCCGCTAATGACGACGATTTTAGGTGGTATTGGTCGAGAATAGACAATGTATGACCAAAAATAGACAAAGTGTCTACCATGTCCTTGTCTACATGAAATCCGATGCCAATCGAAAGGGTAGCGCAAATTGAGGAAACTCGCACCCGTTGCCGCGCGCGACGAAGCGGCAGTTAACGGTTCTCTTACCCGTCTCCCCAGACGAACAAGACAGTCGCAACATGTGGCATGGTCGCGGGCGGCGTCGCGCGGCCAAACGGGGCGAGATCTCGGTGTGCGCCGGGTTGTCGATTGGAGGTGCGAAACTCACATGAATTCAAGGCAAGACTTCGTGGAGAGCTATATGGATTTTCCCCGTCTCGTTGACACACAAATTCAAACGGCCAAATAGGACAACTGGTCTCCCAAACGCGGCGTCACTCGCCGCGCCCATCAATGCTTCATACGATTGTCATGTTACATACCTAGGAAGTACTCTGCTAGTGCACGCGATGACTCGACCAGGAAATAACGTTCCACTCCTAAGGGCTAGTGTAAGGCCTCAGGACAACATTACGACTTGTGTCGGTGTATTATAAAAATCCAGAACATTTCACAAGTACAGGATAAGGTCCTGTGCTCATATTACACTGTGTGTACACTGGAAATCAGAAGAAAATTTTTTAATAGAAATATTCAAGTAACAGATCATCAACACAAAGAAAATCACAATAGGGAGGAATACAGACATACAATGATATACACAGATACATAGAACTCAATTTACTCCAATCAATAATCATTCCTTTCCTCGGTATCGCTGCCATCCTTGTCTTTTTGCTTCCCGTGCTTCGTCATTAACCGCGACGAGGAACACCTTAAAATGAACTGGAGATTTTCATTTGATTCGCTCAGATACAGGGCTGTGTGTCGCTAGGTCAGACTGTACCCCGCGCAAAATCGTCGCTTGTAACGCGCGGCAACTTCGCGCGAAAACTGTTCTGTCCGGAAATCGTAGCGAGATTCTTCGCGACAGGTCAAACAGCAGATTCCGCGACGCGCGGCTCAAAATTCAGGGGACGGCATCAATGGGAAGATCACTTCCAGGTCGCACTTGGTCGCTAGAAGAGGTCGCATGTGGTCGACGGGGGTCGTATCTGGGCTCTGAGAGTTTTTGCCGGCCGCGAAAAAAATTTCCCGGTTCCTCTTCTCGTGATTTTTCCCATTTTTCCTCTCAGACCAGGGTTGTACCGATTAATAACCCTGGGGTGATGGAAGGATTGATGAGCCTCGACGAGAGCTGATCCGGGATTTGACTCCTAGACAACGTCCGTGGTAATCGCCGCTTGTCACAACAACGCAACTGATCGTTCTAATCTCAAAGGCAGTTGGCACGATGGTTTCCCACTTAGCCTTAAATGCTAGTAGGGCCGCTGTTAGTAGGAAAGCGCAAAAAGAGGAGTGAAACGGTCCAAATCCTGCGCAAAAAAAAGCCGTCCGTGTCTCCAGCATGCTTGTAAATCGATTTGCGGACGAAGTTTCCGGCGTGGGGCATGAGATAGCAACGCACCGCTACGGAAGATAAGGCGCTGCAATATGTGTACGCCATGTATGCATGCAGCATCACGGCCCTTCATACCAATCCCTTCGCTTCATAATTTGCTTAGCAAATGAATGAATACAAGCGTCAGGAACGGTCGTCCATTTGTGGGCGGGCGGGCGTGGCGGGCGTTTGGACGTAAAGTTGTGGCTTGATAGGGCCCTTATAAGGTCACCTTCCTCGGGCGAAACCGCTATGGCATGCGCTATGCCCAGGGTCGCGGAATTCTATCACGGCAGGAGTATTGATCCTAGTCGCCTTGGGGAGTTATCGTGCCAACCGCCTTTAAGAGAAATAGATAATTCACTAGTTTTTCTCGAATTTAGCACAAAATCATCTTTCCCGAAGGATAGAAGTACTGGTAGGTTGGCGAGAGCCCATCCGGGAGTTGAGCCTCAGACCGCGCGCGTGGAAGGGGGCTTACTTCCACTTCTCCTCTCGTTCAGGACTTGATCGGCAATGAATAATTAAGATCATTACTGAACTATGAGATGTGTCTGCTCGTTTCTAGGTCGTAGTGGATCGGTGGGGGGGGGAGAAGTCGTGAGATGGAGCTTGTAGTAAGAGCTAATGTTTTTGGATCGCTGTGGGATCTGAGTCTCGTCTCAGAGAGAACTTGTTCGCTGCGGACGCTGGGGCGTTACAGGGGTGTGGGTTTGGCGCGGCGCTAGCCTGTTCTCCACCAACTGTGATCGCCCGCCAGCTTCCATGAAAGGCTGGCGCTACGCCGAACCCACCCCCCCCCACGCCCAAATGCCCCAGCGTCCGCATCAAACAAGATAGTATAATGAACCTTTCTCGCATTTGAAAAAATGGTACTCAATGACGTTGAAATTACCTTCTCAATGATAGGCTGGAGAATAACGGCGTGCATTTCAGCATGTCTTTGAGCTGTATTGATTCGTAATTCTCGATCGATTCTTGGAATTTTTCTATCCAAAGCTCCTGAAAAATTTTAGAATAGACATTCAGCCTGTGGAGAAAAACCCAGCACATCTGATTCATTAAAAGCAAACCTTATCACGCTTATCAGCAGCCTGAAGGGTATAAATAGCAACGACTTGGTAGTAACGAGTGAGATGAATAATTACGAAGGCAAATTTGAGTGAAACTGAAAACAAAAGCGGTTATTCAATCAGTTCGGCTTGGTGGGGGCACCCAATGGCGCTCAGCTAAGCTTCTACAGGAGCTTCTACAGGAAACCTGTGAAGTCGCTGCTGCCAAAGTGGCTCACAATAGCTTCTATCCAGGTTTGTCCATAGTAAAACCTTTTGGTGGACATGAACCGACAAAAAGAACGGGCGGAAGTGCGAAATGCCCCTCCCAAGCCAAACAGTCCCCTTGGAAACATCCTAGGAACGTGGGAAACTTATCAGGAACTTACGTGAACTATTCGAGTCATTCGAGTCCGCATCGCAGAACACACACGAATCCAATGGGACCGGTTGTCGTTGGACGACATAGTGATCGCTCTTACCAACGGGTGCCCCTTTCTGAAATGTTGGTTTTATGAGACAAGAACTTGATTACCTGAACAGTGCTCGTTAGCAAAAGGCAGCGAATCTGAACTCCGTATCCAGCTCGCGAAATAAGAGTGGAATAACCAATTGCGAAAATTACCGCACTGATTGTGTGCCGCCGGAGAACGGAAGTCACCCCTACCCTCACACTCACCTGCTCGAACAGAACTCAATGCCGTCTTCCCTGCAAAAGAAGACTATCAGCCAACAAACATATCAGGTGCGAGCGTCGGGAGCACCATCTTGGCCAAAGTAAATTCCATCCCTTCTCGAAAGTTCCTTCCTCCGGTACGACCCTTCTTCCACATATCCCATTCTACCAGCCTTTCTGATTTTCCCGATTTCTTGCCAATTTCCAAAGTTTTTTTTAAACTCCTTCCATTCCTCCACCCCCCCCCCTCCCTCCCCCAAGGAACTAAGCTTCCTTCGAACGAGACTGGACCAGCAAGATTTTTTTCAGAGGCAAATAGGACTCGCCTCCTCCCTTCTGCGACCGAATACTACCTCCCTCTCTGGAGGTCCGCACGCACACCTGCCCTGGCTCTCAGTGAGAATGGCGCGCCACCTAAGTGACCCCAAGCAGATAAGAAGGCAGATTGTGTCTATAACCGTCCAGCCTCATTGTAAGACCGGGTCTGATGCGGCACTCCTACCTTTTACCAAAATATTCTGTCCGAGACTTCATCACCAGCATGCTGACTTGGGGGCAAAAGATTTGACCACAAGCGGGATTCATACCCGCACTTCCTACTTATCGGGTGAGTCTGCTATCCGTTACTCTACTCCGACCACCGCTTACCTTCCCAGCTTAACGGCTTTTGGGAATTTTTGTCAAAATCTGGTCTTATCTAGAAAAATCGCAAAAACACCTACCACTCGTAATTTGGTGGCACATTTCTTCGGCTTTGACAGAACGAACATGTCGTTGAAAAGGAATGCGTAGCAATCCACTGTTCGACCGTTCTCTGAAACAGGACGTTCTCTTCTTGGTACAGTAAAACCTTCAGACCAATCGAGAGAACAAACCGCTTACCGACTAATTCGAGTGGTCCCTCATGGATAAGTTTCCTCCTTGGATGGGCTAGGAGGTTTTCGCAGAACTGTCGAGAAAGAGCCACTTTGAGGAACTGAAAAATGGTGGTATTGATATAAATACAAGAAAAATGACTGTTT